CAGGGAGGGGGCTTTTACCACCACCTCCACACTCCCTTTCCCTAGGGAACCCCATTCCAGCAGTCCATCCCCATCCTGGGACAGTAGCCTGAGTGCACCATACCTACATGAGCAGGGCCTTGACGATTGATCTCCCCACGCCTAACTTGTTCCTGATGGAATGGTAGCTATCCAGCATGGTGAGCTTCTTAGGGCGATGGAGGGTCTCGTGTGAATGTCCCATCGCCTGAGAGCAGAGGCAAGCCACTAACAGAACTCCATAAAGGTGTCCTTCCTCATTCAAACATTCTGGAGCCACTGCTGGTCACCCCACTGCTCCATGATGAGCCGGTCCAGATGCCAGAAGCGGCAGTGCACAGAGTGCAAGGGATGGTGAATGGGATCCAGCAGCATGAGCTGTGCCTGCAGAGTGCCGAGGAGGGTCTCCAAGTGCAGCAGGGGATTGGGTTCCTGCAGGACCTGGGAGGCAGCCTACAGAAACTGCTAGGCTGTGTCTAGACTGGCCAGTTTTTCCAGAAAATCAGCCGCTTTTCTGGAAAAACTTGCCAGCTGTCTACACTGGCCGCTTAAATTTCCACAAAAGCACTGACTTCCTACTGTAAGAAATCAGTGCTTTTTGCGGAAATACTATGCTGCTCCCGTTCGGGCAAAAGTCCCTTTTGCGCAAAACTTTTGCGCAAAAGGGCCAGTGTAGACAGCTCAGATTTGCTTTCCGCAAAAAAGCCCCAATTGCGAAAATGGCGTTCGGGGCTTTTTTGTGCAAAAGCGTGTCTAGATTGGCCACGGACGCTTTTCCGCAAAAAGTGCTTTTGGGAAAAAGCGTCTGTGCCAATCTAGATGCTCTTTTCCGAAAATGCTTTTAACGGAAAACTTTTCCGTTAAAAGCATTTCCGGAAAATAATGCCAGTCTAGACGTAGCCCTACAGTTTAAGCCCATTACAGCAAGGGAGGTTTAGTTGGACATTAGGAAAAAGTTCCTGTCAGGGTAGACAAACACTGGAATAAATTGCCCAGGGAGGTTATGGAATCTCCATCTCTGGAGATATTTAAGAGTAGGTTGATAAATGTCTATCAGGGATGGTCTAGACAGTATTTGGTCCTGCCATGAGGGCAGGGGACTGGACTCAATGACCTCTCGAGGTCCCTTCCAGTCCTAGTAACCTATGATTCTATAAAGAGCAACACAACCTGCAATATCTGTTGACAGACCAGAGGCAGCTCCAGCTCCATAGATGGATAAGTGTGGTGTTCACAAGGGCAACCACAGAGGGCAAAAGAAAAGGCTTTGCTATCCCTCGAGAAAGTAGGCAAAGGAAAAAAGCCTGAGACACTACTATACAGGGGGATCCCTTTAACCACAAGCTTCAGATAACCTCAGGCAACAGCTCCAGGAAGTAACTGCTGTCCTGATGCCCTGCCTGAAGTGGTTCCGGGTGGCCTTAAATGTGAGTTAGTGTCTAACCAGTTGGACACTCTATTTCGAAATATCTAAGTGCTATTTCAATGAGCTTTTGGCATGTAGTCGTGCTATTTTGCAATAAGCTCTTTTGGAATATTTCTTCCGAAATTGCTTATTCCAAAATAAACATAGTGTAGACGTAGCCTAAGTGTCCATCTGCAAGTCTGTTTAAGAGCTCCTTCTAAACAGTAAGCACTAGAACCACCAAATTGGTATGCAGTTTCCTCTTATCATCACTTAAAGCAAGGTCAGTGTTTGGTTGTGTCAGGATGAGACGTGCATGGAATTTGTTTCTCATAAAATCAATATGGAAGGAGTTATACTGCAGAATGACCACAGGGGGGCAGCAAGAGGCCAAATATAGGAACCAGGGCAGCTATAACCCTATTGGTCCAGCAGGGGTGAAGAAAAAGACCGCTATTTACTATATATTTCAGAGAGTTTGTTTGTGTTTTTCTGTCCCCCAGTAGAAGGAAATGCACCCCTCCCACCAACTGTGCCCGTGGTAGCAGCCATGGAAAGGCACTTCGCACCTGACTCCAAGCTACTGCCATGAGAGGCAGACTAAGCAGACATCAGACTAAATTTAATTTCTGGTGTAACTACAGTGCTTTTATTCATAATAGGCATCATTTTCACCACTTCTATTTTTTCCTGAACGTTCAAGTGAATATAATTTTATTTTCTGTGCTATTATGGTATCTCCTCTTTCTGACAGATTGTGCATCTCATTCCAACTCAAAGATCATTGAATGTCAGTGCTAAAAGCACACATTAGCTTCTTTAATTTCCTTTTCAGCCATCAAAACAAGCAGAGGAACACAGGGTATGACTATAAGGGGAACTTTGTCTACAGACTGATGAATGAGACAGTCTCAGATGGCAATATTACTTTTTTTGTTTAACTGCATGTTTTTCAACCTGGCCACAGACAACAGCTCTGTAGACCATTTTGAAGTGCTCTCCAAAACACCATTCTTAAATATCATAGCATTTCCTATGAAAAATGTCATTTTATCTTGCTCTAAGGATATATTTTTTTACTAGGATATAGAGAGGATTTGGCTTTTCATATCTTAAAATTCAACCATGCTCATCTTCCAGTTATCAGTAAACGACACCTGAATTTTCATTTTACACTCAAATTAAAAGCAGATCTGCCATTATCCATAAAAAAACTAGCACAATCTGCTCATGAGTTCTGATTTTCAATGCTCCAGAACTGAGTTAGTGAACACACATCTCACTAAAAGGGTAATTTAATCTTGTTTAGCACAGCTTGCGTTTGGGGAATCTTTACGGAATTATGATGTCATTTCTATTTACTGTGATACCATATGGATTTCCAAACAATCCCCTTGGAAAGCACACCGTTCACTTGAAATCAAGACCATATCACAAACTATTTACGAGCACTTATTGACCAATTGGATGGGAAGGGTCACAAGGAACTCACTGATGCTCAATAAAGTGGTTAACTAGAAGGTTCTTGATTGCAAAGCTAACACAATATATTTGCCTGGCACTCGCTGGTTTTTCCTTCCCAGAAGAAAGTGTAATCATTGCCCTCTTCCCTAAAGTGGCCTTTATGAGTTTGTCTTCTCTTCCCCCATCCTCCCTTCCTTTTCCCACAGCTACTCTGTGGGATCACGAGCAACCCAACATAAGACTATGGATGAACAACTTATCAGGTGCCTATGTATGGAGAGTCCCGAGCAGACTGCTTCCTGTCTCAAGTGCCATCAAGACTAGATGGTAAATAAGGCCAATGCTGAAAGGCATCACTGGCTATAGCTACACAGCAACATTATTTCAAAATAACTAGCATTATTTCAAAATAACATAGTCCATGTCCACACAGGCAGCAGTTATTTCAACAAATCTCGAAATACTATCAAGCTGGAAGACTTCTTACTCCAACTTCTATAATCCTCATTTTATGAAGAGTATGGGAAGTCAGAGGAAGAGTGCTCTGTTTCAAAATAAGTGCTATGTAGTCAGCACCAAAACTCGAAATAAGCTATTTCGAAATAAGCTACGCAATTGACATAGCTCAATTTGCGTAGCTTATTTTGAGTTAAGCCCTGTTGTGTAGATATGCCCACTGAAAGCAAATAAGTCTCTGATTTTAAAAGGGCTATATATAGAATAGCACCTATATGCCCTAGAAGAAGTATTAGGGCACTATTGTAGTAGGTAATGGTTTTTAAAAAATAGCACTATTGATGTTATTTAACAACTAACAAAAGTTGTGATTAAGCCATCCATTATTCAATTTTTGCCAGTGAAAGAGCTCTAAGAGTTCTTGTTGTAGCCCTTTTAAAAAGCAAACAAAAAAAATTAACTTTGATGTATATCAATGTAGAAAAGATTAAAAGATTTAACCAGGTGAATTTTTACTAGGTTTTCCTTAAAATAATCTGTTCTTGTGGAAATACTACCCAGGAAGTAATATTAGCTACAGGTGAATACAGTGTTAGTTACACCATATGGCCATACATCCTGGACAGTAGAAATATGTGAGTAAAACAGATTCAAGACTTTATGACAAATAAGGATGGGCAGGTGAGGTTATATAATTATCCAGATAGTAGGAAGACTCAGCTAATAAAAAGTGACTACACATATTAAGTGTGCAGTGATGCTCACAAAACAGCATGCAATTTTAATAAACCTTTGGTACATGATTCCAAAACTCATAAATAGATCTTCAGTTAACATGGCAGCTATACTAGCCACCAACATACAACTTTACTTTTAAGCACTGTGGACTGGATTTCTCTTCCTTTTGTACAATCTCATTGCCCTCAACAGGAAAAACAGGTAGGGCAGTTGACAGAAAAGAGTGGAATCTCCTGTCTGCAAAGGAGTCAACTGAAGTAACCCAACTTTGACTTAGTTGAAACAGACAGGCAACCCATACTAGAAATTACTAGCTATCAGTGGCTCACAAAGTTGAATGTTAACTAAAGCAATTGTTAGTTATTAAAATCATAAAGAATCAAGAAACGTTATTGCACTTTATTTGAAGTGTTCATCATTTGCTGAAAAATGTACACATTCCTACGGAGCTAACAAAACCCATTTAACCTTTCTTAAAAGCTACAGTGCAGTTTTTTCTTTTGGAAAAAAAAAAAATGTGTACTGCCTTTCTTAAAAGCTACAGTGCAGTTTTTTCTTTTGGAAAAAAAAAATGTGTACTGACTGGTCCCCAGACTAGACAAATTTAGTCAAAGACAACAGTAGATTTCAAAAGGATAGTAACTCAGATTTCACCCAAACTGTAAACTGTGAAAAAGTATTTCCGTGGTTCTTCATGTTCTAACAAAAACATTTTTAAAAAGCCATATCCTCAAACAAAGAATGTTTTCATTGTAGAAACTGAAAGAAAGGCAAGTAAACAAGCAGCATAAATAGTGAACAGTTGACAGTGTTTTCAGAACACGCCAACTAATATGTAAGAAATACCCTTTATACCAAAACTTGTTTCACCTGAAAGACATGTGACTAACAGGAATATAACTTACATTGATACAGTTCCTTTTTTTTTTTTACAGTTAGTCCAGATATTTTAACAGAATAAGCTAATGTAAGATTTGTACTTTGACATTAGTATACAGTACAAAAATAACTGTTCATAAATCTTCTGTTGTACTAAGTTGTATCAAAACTTAAATAACTGACCCAGCAAGTATATAACACACAAGTGCAGATACTTGAGACATTTATGCTCCTATATATTACTCTATATAAACCAGCTCACTGTAACTATACTTCTGTCTAACTTTAGTTGTCTTACATGATTGGCAGTTCGAATTCTCCCTTCTCAGTGCAATGGTTATACGTTATGAAATGATCCTTGGACATTACGAACAATTGTACTCAAATGTCTTAAGGCACCTTAATTTCCTAAAATGGTAAGCAATTCTTCAATTGACACAAAATCATTGGCAAAAAGTTTATAAATGCCACAATTGTTCAGTTTCAAAACTCTATATTTAACAGATTTATTTTTTCAATACAACCCTTCATTTTCTTAATAGTATAACTGCTACTTTGTTTCCCCCAACGAGAAAAGGAGGTGGGAGGGGGAACTGTGAAATACCAGAATTAACTGGATATCTTTATGCAAGAAGAAAATCATTCCTTCATCTCAATTAAAGTTTTTATCAGTCACCCTACCTTCTGACTGAGTGGTCTGGATTATTGTGCAGAGTGTAAAAAAGACAGTTTACACTGAGTCATATAGTAAAATGTCACTCATATTAACCATTCTTTTAAAACAACATTTTCAACTACATAGGATAAGTTTTCCCCCAAGTTTGAACAACAGACAAATGAGAAATTGTGAAACTTCTCTGGAAGCAGGTATGACAAAAATATTTAATGTGCACTCTGAAAAGATATCAGTATCAGCTTTTCAGTGCAATTTACTCTGAAAAGTGGTTATGTAATCATTCCTTCCTCCTCAACTGATTTAGATTCTTTTTTCTCATTCATATTAACATGCCCATTAAGTTTCTGTTGCAAGATCTCTAATTGGTGATATGCAAATCAAATACTTGAACTTGATTCTCATGACAAAAGCCGCTAACTGCTCTGGTCTCTTTACATTTTGTGAGAGAGCCAGAGTAGCATAAAGTGAACCTAGAAACTGAGGAAGACAGCTCTAAGTCTGACTTCTGAGGACTGTATAAGCTCTGAAATGAAAGGCATCTTAGGGGTATCAGGTTTATAGCACTGCAAAGATTCAGGATACAAGACAGTGCTGGATGACAGTTAGATCTTGCAGGTCCCCAACACACTAGCTTATATCATTCCAGGCCGGCAGGTAATAATTTTCAAGGAGGGGCACTCCGAGAATTTGGTATGTGGGCAGGGGCCACAATTTTCTATTATATTAATGTAGTGGATATGGAGTTTGGGACCGAGTTTGCATACAGGAAGGAGCTCTGCGCTGGGATTGGGGTGTGGGTTCTGAGCTGGGCCAGAGGTGCACAGGAATTGGGTGCAGGAAGAGGTTGTGACCCGGGCCAAGGTGTTGGGCAATAGAGGGAGTGAGGTGCTCAGGTGTAGGCTTTGGCTTAACGTAGGTGGCTTCCAGCCTGTAAGCACTGCCCTTTACGCTTCCATCAGTTGGTTTCTGGCTAATGGGAAGCTGCAAAAATGGTGCTGGAGGCAGGGGCAGAGTGCTGAAACTCTTCTCTGCCCAAGGGAGAAGACTCGCACACTAGCCCTAGAACCAAGATGCTTTAAGTGGTATGTGGGGCTGTAGCTGGCAGGGAGCCTGCCCAAGGATCCTGTTGTGCCTCAGTGGGCCAGATCCAAATGTTTGGTGGGCCATATTTTGCCCACCCTTGTTCTACACCCAAGGAACTGCCCAGGATCAGGAGCGAAGAAGCCCCAGCTTTACAATCCAGAAAGAAGGGTCAAAAGCACATACTTGTAAGAAAAGAAATGATTTGGAACCACAGATTAGGAACAAGGAGCCCCATGTTTATAGAATCTGCTTGAAGTTGGACTCAAGAAGGAACTTGTAGGGCATAAAAATGGCTTCACTTATCCAGTCTTCAAGTCAACTGGGGTTGGTTTTGTCCATAACATAACTTAAAGAGAAGCCTCTGTTGCTGTAACAGTCCCTCAAACATCACTGAAGCAGCTGTCAATAGCTACTTAGCTAGTCTGCGTTCCCTCTCCCATTCTAGGGGCTATAAAGCCACAGGTCTTGTTATACTGACTGCATCATTTGAGGATTTTTTGAACTAAGGATAGTTTTCAATCACCTTTACAATTCCAGAATTACACAGAGTTAAATTTAGTAACCTAGATCTAGTGTTGTTTAATGTTATTCCAAAATGAAAATAATCAGCCCATAATTTGTCATGATGGGATGTGTATGTGTTTTTTAAATAAACTAAAACATCCATTTTAGGGTTCAGGTAACCGTCAAAATAGGAGCTATGTCATTAAAATGGAAGACAGTGCAATTATTTTACTCCAGTGATAATTTCTTCAAATAAAATTATAATAAATAATTTCAATTAAAATGCCAGTTTCAAGTGTAAAATATGCCTACTAAAATATATAAAAAATATAGATGCTATAATATGTTATTCTTGCTACAGATATTTTCTGCATCACAGACAAACTTCTAGAATGGTCACTGTTGGTATTGTGTAAATTAAGAGACTGAAGACCAGATATAAGTGTAAAAATAATTAGAAAACAGGAATAACTGTCCACTCTAATCTAATGACAAACAAATGCCTTCATATGTCATTTGTTTGTAGCGAATATGTACACACCATTAAAGGACAAAAAGATACTAGTAGCTTTGGTTTTGTGTTGCAGGTCATTAGACCTGTGAAAAATTTTCAACATACTGAATCAATGTTGGGTTTTTTAGAAGAACCCAACATTAATACATTCATTCAAGCAAAAAAGCCGAACATAGCTGTACTGTTTTACAGTATTTTGTTCACACACAGATTTCACTTAACTAACCAGATACAACAGCTGAATACTAATGAGAGCAGAACAAAGACAAAAGTACAATAAAAATAAGTGTACAGATGACCTTGTTTAATGGCCATTAACTAGTTTGCTTTCCGGCATGTGGAAAAAGTTGTCTTCTTTGAGTTTCAGGTGTTCTGGTAAATCTAGTTTTCTCTTAGCCTCTTCAATGTCGTCTTGAATTGCTGAAATAAGTGCATCTGCAAAAGGAAAGCTAACATTTAATATTTTTAGAAATTTATTACAAATACTGGACCAGTCAATACTGAGAGAGTGCATGAGACCCAGAGAAACAGATTTAAAACAGTGATCACAACTCAGGTTCAGAGACAATGTACGTTTTAGAGCTCTGCAGAGGATTGAAATCCCAAATCACAAAGGATTTTGATGTTCGGCTTTGTTACTATTCAAAAAACCCAAATTTTTCAGAATTTTCTATGAAAGAGTCCAGCAAAAAGTTCTCTGTCAGATCAAAACATTTTGATTTTGACTGCTTTATTCTAATGTAACACACACACACACACACACACACACACACCCTGGAAAAGTACTGAAACAAAAACTGTTGGAACAGGGACATTTCAGAATGGTTGAAAGTCTTTAATTTTTCCCCCTAATAAAATTTCCACAAAATTAACACAATTTCGTAAAATGTTTTATTTTCAGTGGAAATGCATAGTCAAATGAAAAATGGTTCCACGTAAGATTTTCTGACCAGCTCTAGTGATACTCATTCATCATTTCTTAGTTAGCAACCTACTCTTTTAAAGAAATTCATTTTTCTAAATTGAAACAGGAAAGTATACACTTACTGCATATTTCATTAGTTTAGTATACTGAATTCAGCACAGATTTTTTTAAAAATCATGTCTTACTGTAGATGTGAAATTAGTGGCACTAAGCTAACAAAATAATATATTAACATTAACAAGCACAGATGGTTATTTTAAGAAACCACTAATAGTTTGAAATGACAACTTGAAATCTTGCCAATTTCAAGTGAATGAAAGGTATTCAGACCCTCCATTTCTCAAGAAATCACCTGTCAGTTTTAGCTTCTTCCTCCCTTCAGTGTGCACCCTTCACACTTCAGAGAGGTGAGGTAAGTGCTGATTTATAAAAAACAGAAAACAGAGATATACAAATACAGCTGACAGGCATTTTCCCTCAACTCTCATAGTTCTACTAATACAAGGTATTTGTAAAACAGTAAATAACAGTTCTACAGAATGATTTAAATTGTGTTGCTAAGAGATAATCATGAAAGTGTGGCCATGGCATGAGATCTGGGAGAGAGCTCTCCCAGCGCTGTATGTAAATCACCTCCTCGAGGGGCTTTATAGTGCTGCAACTTGCTGCACTTGGAAGGGAGGAAGGTTTCATACCCCGAGCCAGAAAGTTACAGGGCTGTAAAGTGTCAGTGTAGAATTAGCCTAAACAAAATACAGGACTATGTAGCACTTTAAAGACTAACAAGATGGTTTATTAGATGATGAGCTTTCGTGGGCCAGACCCATTTCCTCAGATCAAATAGTGGAAGAAAATAGTCACAACCATATATACCAAAGGATACAATTAAAAAAATGAACACATATGAAAAGGACAAATCACATTTCAGAACAAAAGGGGGATGCGGGGGGAGGGGAGGGAAGGAAGGTGAATGCCTGTGAGTTAATGATATTAGAGGTGGGGAAGGGTAGATGTCTGTGAGTTAATGGTATTAGAGGTGATAATTGGGGAAGCTATCTTGGTAATGGGTAAGGTAGTTGGGGTCTTTGTTCAGCCCCCTGAGGAGAGTGTCGAATTTTAGCATGAATGCCAGTTCAGAGGATTCTGTTCTGAAATGTGATTTGTCCTTTTCATATGTGTTCATTTTTTTAAATTGTATCCTCTGGTATATATGGTTGTGACTATTTTCTTCCACTATTTGATCTGAGGAAGTGGGTCTGGCCCACGAAAGCTCATCATCTAATAAACCATCTTGTTAGTCTTTAAAGTGCTACATAGTCCTGCATTTTGTTTCAGCTACACCAGACTAACACGGCTACATTTCTATCATGAATTAGACTAAGTTTACCAAAAACAGGATGTACTTTTGCTTCCATTAACAGAAGGGTTCTTAAACTGGGTGTCACAAGTCTCAAGAATTGCAAGGTGATTACATGGTGTCACAAGCTGTCAGCTCCATGGAACTGAACTCTCAGTCTCCATTTAATTAAATTAACCCTTCCATTATTTATTCATAAAAAGGAGTCCCACTCAGCCTTGCTGTGTGAAAGGGGTAACTAATACAAAAAGTTTGAAAACCACTGCATTAAACACAAAACTTTGTCTTCTATGAAGTAATTTTATACAGGCAGTCCCCGGGTTACGTCAGTCCAACTTAAGTCGGACCCCTATTTATGAACGAGGGGAGGGTGGGGCCCGCTAGTGCGGGGTGCCTCCCCCACTGTCACCGCCTCCGGCGGCACGGGGGGGCGCCCCCCCCCAGCAGACCAGGAAGACGCAGAGCGGCTTTTCTTGCCGCGGAGGACGCAGGCGGCGGGACCACCGCGGCGCCTCTTGGTGGTCTGCTGGGGGGGGCGCAGCTAGTTCGGGGGTCCCTCACCCCGTTCTTAAGTAGGGATCCAACATAAGTCGGATCCACGTAACCCGGGGACTGCCTGTAATTGGAAAACTTATTCTAAATTCTTACACGGCATCTAGGACCGGAGCAGAAGAATCTCCCCAAAATTAAGAAAGCAACATGGATACCTTTCCTCTCTTTCTGCCTTCTCTCTCTTACCCTACCTGGAAGATCAGAATAAGTTGTATGGATAAATCACTGCAATCCACAGGTCCCACTGCCACAAAATTCTAATGTGCTAAGAAGTTTATGATTGCAGAATGTAGCTGTGCTGCGTGGCTATCAGTCATGCAGAGACATGACCCTCCACATAATTAGGGCCAATTCCATGTATGACTTTGAACCCTAGGACGAAGACCATAAACTAGATTCTGTATTTAATGAGAAGCCAGCCCTGAGACTGGAGTACTTAGATGGTGTGTTCTGGTGACTGATGGCTAAGCAGATGATCTGTTTTTTGTACAACTTGGAATTGTTTCACGGTGAATGGCTTTGTTTCTAGTAACAGCGGCTGAATCTGGACGCCAGTTCTGACTTACATACAAATTCAACTTAAGAACAAACCTATGGTCCCTATCTTGTACGTAACTCGGGCACTGCCTGTATTGCCTCATCCAATTTCTAATCAAAACAGGGGGGACATATAAATTCTATTAAGTGGGCATCCAGTATTGCTACTGCATTTACCAGTAAGCTAATAGAAAGTATCATCTGATTTGTTCAATAATAAAAGAATATGCACAATTACAAAACCATTTAAAATTATATATTAATAAAATACTGAGATGAAATAGTTTTTTTAAAGGGGGCATTTTCTGGCCTATTACTTACAAAGGCTAGGAAATATGTTTCAAGGAGCAGTTCTCTACGGCTTTACTATACCAATCATAGGCAAGAAAGTTACTTTCCTCCAAAAGTCAAAGATTCCCATTGGGCCCTAGTCTACACTAGGACCTTAGTCCTAAATAACCCCTCCAAGTTTGAATTAGTAAGCAGTACATCCACGCTATCAAGCTTGATAGTTCAGAGGAACAGGCTGCGGAATGCGAACTCTGTACTCCTGCTTTTCATCGGGAATAATGCTAATTCTGAATTTGTAAGTCTGAAATAACATTAGTGTGGACGCTCTGGTGCCACTAATTCTAATGAATTGGCCTCCAGGAAGCTTCCCACACCTTCCCAGAGTGCTTTCTGAGGCTCTGAGACTGACGTATTAAGTCCACATTAATGGAGCCTGCCTCGGACTAATTTCGATGCTTCCTAGTAGTGAGGACATGCAAGTTCAAATTTGTTAAATAAGGAGTTCTTAAGTCAAATTTAGTAATTCTAAAATAATTTCCTAGTGTAGCTATGGCCTGTTTAAGAGAAAAATGTTGACCGAGCATAAACGTTTACACTGTCAGAAGCTTAATTCCAAAGACTGGCCAACCAAGTATCCATTCATCCTTAATGTACAATGGAGCAGGAAGATGACAGCTTTCCCTTGTGGTTACATAAATTAAAACTACAAGCATTTAGATGCATGTTAAAGGTACTACTTTGTGATTCTTAGAGAATGTGCTCTTTTCCTTCTTTCTTCATTATAATGAAGTAAGAATACATAAAGGTGATTTCTTCCTAGTTTTTTTAATCTTATAATAAAGAAAGTCTTGTTTTTTCTAGAAGTTTCTTGAGAGGATCCATTGACGTTGGGTCAGAGCTGTCTCAGCTCTTAACTGAGCAGGTGAGAGTACAAACCTTTAACAAAGATCTTTACTTCTCTTTGTTGGGTCTGAGTCAAACGTGTACTAAAAATAAACTGAATAAAAAAATCCTTTCTTCTTTTTTTAAGTTTCATTTCTTTAGTACATGTTTCACCTTAATCTGAAAACAACGCACATCTAAAAGCAACGTAGCATTATTCTCTTTCAGTTAATTACCATGACAAGGATCCTCTAAGGATTTCTGCATTAAAAGGAATACAGATTTCCATGCCAGAAGGGACCAAAACCAAAGGAATATCACATCATTTCTGTATCCATCCCATACCTTCTGGTTCACAAAAATAAATCCTACTATATGTAAACCCATCCAGATTGTCATAAACTGGCACAATAGGTGCCATAATAGGTGTTGAGAATAATTACTACCAAATCTTCTCCCTCAGATGTTGTACCAACCCCGTACAGGCCGGGCAGGGGTTAACCAGGCCTGTTGGGCTGAGAAGGCCTCTCTCCCGTAGCCCTGCTGGGCATGCTCCAATTTCAGGCCCAATATAAAAGGCAGAGGAGCGGCTCAGTTGGGGATGACCACAGGAGGAGAAGGAGCTCCTGCTGGAACCCAGGAGCAGCCACCTCCGCTGGCTCCATCGCAGCAGCAGCCACAGTAGCAGCCCCCAATGCAGCTGCCACAGTGACAAGTGGATGACTGGGAGAGCTACTAATCAGGAGTACATTGGTGGGGAATAAGCCAGCCGGCAGCTGGGATAGAAAGTAGCCCAGGGCGGGAAGTGGGAGGCCTCCTGGTGAGCTTGGTGTGTTTCAGGTGGATTCCCTGCTGAGATAGTTGTGGGATACGCCTTCCGCTGACAGGGCCCTGGGCTGGGGCCTGGTGAAGAGAGAGGACCCGGGACCCCCTATCCCCACACCTCCCTTGACCCCAGTGGGGGAACAAACGTAATGCAACATAGACTTGGCCACTGGGCCTTACTGCCCCACAGACAGGGGTGTCAACAGATTCGGACACTGGGTCTTGTTGCCCCGCAGATGGGAGCACTACAGACTTAGCCACTGGGCCTTACTGCCCTGCAGACAGGGGGAGCTATAAACTTGGCCATGGGGCCTTACAACCCCACTCACAGGGATTGCGAGAGACTAGGCCACTGGGCCGTACTGAGTGAGAGCCGTATAAACCGGGCCACCGGGCCATAACTCACATCCGATAGGGGCAATAGCCGAGGCCAGACTACAGAGTGAGGCACCCAGCCCTGTCTTCTGGGGGGACAGACTGTCCACCCCGTGACATACAGCAACAATAACACAAAGAACAATTAGTACAAAGCCCCTACTGAAAAGATACCAGAATGAGATGTCCCCATTACCTGCAAAGTATTCTGAAACAGAGTAAAACTCAAACGTGCAGCTTTTCCATTTGTTAAAAGAAGCAAGTCACACAAAGGGTTGGTGTATATACCATCTGCTGGTATATCAGATTTGTAACTCCCATAACATGAGAGATTCTCTGGCAAGTTCTGTAATGGAAGAGCCAGACCAAAGAATGAGGACTGCCACTTCTGAATAGCCAATTTAGATTTTGTGAAGAAGCTGTTCTTCTAAAGTTCAGATTCAGAGAGAATTCAAAGTTCTGGGAGTGACATTGCCATGATAACCCAGAAAAAGAATAATTCTACCAGGAAATAGATGTACAAGATGATGTCACTTGCAGGTATATCCATTTTCTATATTTCTCAATATTCCTTAATTATTATTTTTTTAAATACAGAACAGTAAAGCCCTTTTTGTTGTATTCAATTTAACAATGCTAGCGAAAACTGTATTTATCATTTGAATGATTCACTTCCAAAGTAGATTTACTTAATTATCCAAAGTAAAAAGGAACACAGAAAGAAGGCAAATCTCCATTGAGAGTGAACTGCACAAACATCAAAGTCAGGCTCAAAAACCTTAAATTCAAAATAAACTTTTAGGGAAGACTTGATTCTTACCTAAGGAATCAAAGTTTTTTTCTGGTCTAATGTACCCAACAATGACTATACTAAGAATTTCACCATAAAAATCTTCTTTGAATATGTGGATTATGTGTGTTTCCTACAGAAAAAGAAAAAAAAAGTTACTATAGTTATTATCTTTTCTCTGTTTATCAGAAAGTTAAGCCCAAATTATTATCAACTACACAGAAAGGAAAAAAATGTTTTTTCTCTACCTCACATCTTAATAAAGTTCAGTAACCTAACATGTATTATGCACATTTAAGAAACCTGAGTGAAAACTGTTAAAGTAAAATAAGCATTTTTTTAACCTTTGGTAAGTATGACAAGAGCATCGACTATTAATTTCACGCTGCTATGTCCAAAGAGCTACATTCTAATCTCATATACACTTGAGAAATGTCTAGGACTTATTGCATGAGTGTTTTGCACATGCTGTATCTGAGGGTAGAAAATGGCTTTGAATCGCTTAAGATATAAATCTATAATTTAAACAAAATAAAAAACCACAATTCCTATTAAGTGTAATTTCTGGATCAACAATCTCTAAATCAAATTTAGTCATATAATCTGTCATTTTTATCAAACATAGAATACCTTTAATACATATTAAATTTGAATATGGATGTGAAGGTTTAACCAGCCTCATTCTTAATGGGTGAGGCTTACTGGTTAAAGTTAACAAGAGGGGCTGGAGCAGGCACCTGCTATGGGCTCAGGCACCTTGCAAGCAGGGGCTGTGCTGACTTGGCTGGAGCAGCCCCTGCCTGCAGCTGGGGGCAGAGGGGCATTCCAGCCCGATGACAGGTGGCAGGGCCCCCTCTTTCCCATTTAACTGGTTAAACAATAAGTTTAACTGGTTAACCGATTACATGGGATTTCACATCCCTAATCTGAATTAGTTTCCATAGAGATGACTTAACACAATCAAGAAAGGAAATAAAACATTTTCTAGTCCTCTTAAAAATACAGAATACCTCATTATGCCAATTGTATTCATGACTAACTTTAATGTCTCTTAAATCATAGCAGCTCATGAAACTAAAAGAGGAGCTAGCTGAAACAGTTATAAAGCATGACAATTTGAACAAAATCCTACTTTTCATTTCTCAAGCAAAATCCTCATTTAGTTATGTCACTGAAAATGGTCCTAATCAATGCTTATCGGATAGTCAAGTCAACTAGTCGCTCTCCCCTCCCACTCTGCTGCCTTGATCAGCTTCCCCCAGTAAGGGCTCCATGCGGCGCTGCTGCTTTGAAACGCTGTGGCGGCGTTTCAAAGCAGCAGCGCCATGTGGAGCCCGGAGTCAACTAGGAACTCCCTAGCTGAACCCGGGTTCTGTGGAAATGGCGCACGGAGCCCGGGGTCAGCTTGGGAGTCCCCAGCTGACTCTGGGATCCACGGAAATGTTGCATAGAGCCTGGGATCAGCTGGGGACACCCCAGCTGACCCCAGCTCCGTGCAGCATTTCAAAGCGGCAGCACCGCATAGAGCCCGGGGTCAGCGGGGAACTCAAGAGTCCCCCGCTGACCCTAGGTTCCATGCGGTCGCTTCCGCTTTGAAATGCATAGGAACCCCCGCTGGGGACTCTTGTACATTTCAAAGCGCATGGAGCCCGGAGTCAGTGGGACTTCCCGCTGGCTCAGCCTGCACGCAGAGTTCCAACTTTGAAATGCACAAGAGCCCCCATTGGGGCTCTTGTGCATTTCAAAGGAGGAACACAGAAATGCCTACCAACTAGTCGATGGAAATTCCTTCGACTACTTGACTAGTAAATTAACCAATATTTAACATCCTTAGTTCTGGCTTAAGAGACAGCATCCAGGAGAAAAAAAATCATATACAGATGATGGTATAGTTAGAGGACATGAGACTCTGTTCTTAATAATTCTGAATTCATTTTTCATTTATTATACTGATTCTATATAAGGAGCCATAACATAGCATATATGGATTCCTCTATAGATCAGAGAACATAATGGAAGTACAAAACAAATGATGAAGAGAAAATCTATTAAGCCATATTAATGTTTCTTTTTATTTTGGAGAGCAATTATGTTCTGAAAATTAACAGATGTCACTAGGCTCTTACTCATTTAATCCTATTTCCGTGTATTTTATAATCGACGTGCTCAATTTACTACTTAAGCTTACCTTTTTTTTTTAATTGGCAGCAAAACAAGGGACCTGTGATCAACATCAGAATTTAGCTAATTTAATTGATGATACAAGAGGTAAAAGAGAAAATGCCACATTCTTCTGTGGCTGCATGGACTCTGTCTACTAAGAGTTTTTTCTCAGCATGTAAAAATAAGAGAGTGTCACTTTTATAACTGTAAATGCAATATATAAATCCCATTCATTCATTTTATGCAGCAAAGCTAATAGTTTATTATAGCCAAAATACCACATGAAGCAGAATTCTTACCACTGATTTCTTTACGTTCTTATAATACGGGTTCCAGCCTATGCTCAAAACCATTTTATGCACATCTCCATTCCCAACACAGGCCCATCCATAGTATATACCAGTAGAGATATCAGATGGAAAGCTTTCGACTACTTGCTCAGAAAAGTTAGCTGCAAAATTGAAAAAAAAAAAAGTGTATAAAATGCTTTGTAGTAAATCAAACATCTCAAAGTGTATTAAAAAAAACAAACTTAGCTCCGCTCATATGTCATGTGATATTAATGACCCAAATGTTCTACAGGTTGGACCTCCCTGGTCCAGCACTCTTGGGAGTCAGGACCTGACCAGTCCTGGATGAGGGATTCTACCAGACCAGAAGAGGTCATATCTGGCCCCCCTAGCCCTGGACCAGCCCCCGGCCTCCCAGCCGGCTCCCTCTCTCCGCCCACCCCACTGTCCTGCTGGTTACTGCCACCCTTCCCTGCTAAGCTAGGCAGCCCCCACTGCCATGTGCTGGGTTTCTGGCCCTGCTGGGCAAGCCCTGCTACCGTGTGCCAGGCTCCCGGTCCTTCTGGGCATCCCAGCTGGGTCATGCCTGGCAGCCCAGCTGTGGGGAGCCCAGCCGCCAGCTGTCCACCAGGATTCTCTGGTTCTGGAACATCTGTGGTCCGTATTCCCGATTTACAGAGTTTCAACCTGTATTAGGCTTTTGCTTTTGCTTATCGGATAGTTGACTAGTTGCTTAGTCGCTTCTTTCCCTTGCTGCCTCTATCAGAAAGCCTGCTGGAGCTCTTGTATATTTCAAAGCGGAAGCACCGCATGGAGTCCAATTCCCCCACTGGCCCCGGGGCTCCATGCAGCGTTTTAATCTTTGAAATGTACAAGAGCCCCTGCTGGGGCTCTTGTACATCTCAAAAGCGGAACACCGCATGGCACTTCCACCTTTGAAATGAAACAACAGCTGGGTGGGCTCTTGCTACATTTCAAAGCAGAAGCGCCCTTATCGACTAATTGAATAGTCAATGGAAATTCCATCGACTATTCGATTACTTGATTAATCTAGTTTTAACATCCCTACTTAATACAAGTATAAACAGTAGAGGGGAAATTTTCACGGCCAATTAGCGTATGGACTTTGAAACATCACAGAGTTAGCAGGTCTACTGAAAACTTAGTTCCAAGTTGTTGTATTTAAGGTAATTTCTATCATTAATCAACCAGGCTGAATAGCAATGTTTTAACTCTATTAGGGAACTTGGCCAAAGTCACATCTGCACTACAAACAAGAACCAAAAAGCGATGAGGTCATGGTACAGCTACAATGAAAGTCTCTCACACACACAAAATAATCATGAAGGTGAAGTTAAGACCACAGTTACCTAACAGTGGTTTAAGTGTATATTACCTTTTAAATACAATAGCTATAGTTAAAAAAAAACCTCAGATGACATAATGCTGTTGCTAGGTCTCAGGACTCTGCTTACGAAACAAGTCACCCAAGCTACTTCTAAGGAATGTTCTCTGAACTCTACAAACAATCCTTCTATTCTCTTCAACTTATCCATACCTGCAGAACTCTTAAAGAGGTGCAAATACTCATTTAGGCTATGTATGAGTTTCTGCATTAGTAAAGCCTGCCTCAGAGCCCCCATTGCATAGTTTCACATACGCCATAACCTGTATACCGCACAGCAGCTACCTCTGTATAATGTTAGGCTTTCTAGCACCATATCCCAGGGTTCTTAGCTGCTTTGTGATATATGATGGGAGAACTCATCTTCCTAGCCTTCTATGCAGAAGTAGCCTGACACATTTAACGGAGGCGCTTCCTCTGGAAGCTCTCAACCCCAGACTGCTAAAGATAATTGCAAAGCAGTTCAATGTTGGTAAGCCATCTGTCAGGTTTTCAGTAGCAAAGGTTTATGAGGCTATTAACATTGTAATTTACCAATGGGTGGTGGGCATTAGAAATCTGCCTGAAATAAATACCATGCTTTCAAAGAATGCTATTCCCAAACTGCGCTGGAGACACTGATGTCAAACCTATGCCTGTGCTTTGGTTGCAAAAAAAGTAAGAAAAAAATGTCATCTGTGAAGGTACTGCTCCCTAGTTTTTTCAGTGAGTCACAGAGAGAGGTTCGTGAAACTGACAGAAGTATGGAAAGATGCTAAGGAGACTTGGCATT